AGCGGGAGCTGAGGTGAGATGCGTGAATCAGATGTTAGTTTGCTTCCTCAAGCGGCTTTGTCAATGAAAGGTGCTCAAATGGTTCTTTGATTCAATGGAATTCACGCATCGCTTCAACAGCTCCTACCTACCTCTGCATACGTGAGACACGTACCCCCCTCTGCACAAGTTTCCCAAACTTTCGGCTTACAACGAGGGCCCCCCAGAATTGCTTGCGCATCTCTATATATATACAAATGATGCAAATGGACTTGCCAAGGTCAGGGCAGCACTGGCTGTCGGACAATAAACGTGTTTCCATGTTGTCTGAAAGGGGGGCACGGCCTGGTGCACAATCAAAGCAGCACCCTCTTGGCCAAATTTGGACACTCAGGAGATGGGATACACTCAGGAGATATTATACATCATGATACACCTAACTACAGTCTTGCCCAAAGTTTTGAACCAGATCGGTGAATCTTGACCAATGTGGATCCTGACAATCAAGAGGGACGATGGAACCAGATTGTGCCGCTGATTGCGCAGAAAAGAACGGAAGAGAGACAGCCGGTCGGCGTCCCGACCATGGTCGGTCGGTCGGTGGTCTGTGGTCACAGAACTCAAAATTGTTCTACGCAAAGAGCTTCATCTCACTCGAATCCTCTACAGTACCAGGATGTACCAGGTGGCACAGCCTTTTGCCCCTCACGGCCCACGTCGCTGAACTGGAGCAGCTTGCGGCTGAGGGAACTGGTGAAGGAACGTCTTCTGATCTGCTCTCCGCTCCAAGTCGTTCACATATGCCTGCACTGGGAATGCCGCAGACATGCTTGGACATCACAAAGTAGGTGATTTTCTCCAAACTGGTTCCTACAAACCTTCCTCCTCTACATAACTGGGAAGCGGCCAAGAAGGGGATCCACTGTGCCTCCGCCCGGCTCACTGCTTTCTCTGCTTCATGAAGGTTGGGACTGCTCTTGGCTCGCACACCCATCTGGCGAGGTTCTTCACCAATCAGGGGCACTCCAATCAGCATTCCGTAGATCACTCGCAAGCCCGCCATTTTTGCACGTTTTGCGCGAGTTCGAGGCTGAGGATCCTAATGCTGCAGATTTGGAAGTTCGGAGAAGCATTGAGTATCATTGAGTCATGTACCAAACTCTCCACTCTCCAGATTCTGTTGTTTCATTCCAAACCTCACCTACAATGTCTACATGAAAAGTGACGCTCGCAACACGTTTGTCTTTCTGCAACCGGGCACGCGGATTGCGTCACCCTTCAGGCTCCCTTGTCTGGCCTAAGAATACACATTTCAAAACACTTGTGAGTTGGTCCGAAGTCCGTCCCAATGGTCGACATAGCGACAGTGAACCATAAATCCACTGACCACACAGATCAAGACCAGCCAACCCAGAGGATCGACATGCGAGCTCGCTCGCTCGCTCTTTTCCATCGCCACACGGTTTCGCTCGCTCACCCCGCCCACCTCTGACATGGATGACAGCCGCGCGAAGAGGAGGTCTATTTCGATGGTCGAGAGCTTCAACTGTCGGAGCCCACGGAGTCAGAGCGAAGGGCTTCGGTCGTGGAAGGCCGGTCGGAGCCCACGAGAGCCCCGGTCGGAGAATGAGCGTTATTTGTTTGTGGAATGCCGTGGCCAATGCTGTGGCCAGAGAAGTGTGGGACCAAAGCAGTGAAAAAAGGGTTTCAACGAACAATGAATCCTCTGTGCTGAGACAGCTGCAGAATCGCCCGAAGCCGGCTGTGCTCTGAACGCAAAAGAAAAGCTTCGGCCTTAATGATAGGTGTGTAGGCATCTGGCACAGGTGTCACATCTGTAACATCTGGATGCTCCTCACCAAATGAATGGGGAGGAGGTGAACAGTTCGATGATCCAGAAATTCCGGCCACACAAATATGCGCGCAAAAAGTATACACTTATGAAATCTGCATGAAGAAGTCTTGGTGTTCATGGTGCTCTGGGTGATCATGCCTTACGCTGCTCCTGCAGCTAAAGAAGTCAAGTTCATCAATGGACAAGAATCAAATGGCATTGCCTACTGTAATCCAGTACTGCGTGTGTTTGTCATCACACAAGTTCTGTTGCTTGATTCTACAATTGATACAGCAGGTGCCGCAAACTGTTAGAATGGCCCAGTTCACAAACCAAGAAAGGCTTGAAATGGATGTGCCTCAAAATGGGGAGGGAGAGGGAGGAGAGAGAGAGAGAGGGGAACCTACTAGCGATGGCCTCCACCCTAGTAGCGATGGCCAATGCTTTTCGCGTTAAAAAGTGCACCTTTTCTTCATTTCGCATGTGGTCTGTGGTTTCCCCATTTCGCACACAAACCGCCATCCGCTGATCCGCCCAGTCCTGCAACTTTGGCACTAACACCTGGAGCTTCATGGAAATTGGACACAAGAACGGTATGATCAAACGAACAACATTCATTTGCAAGTTTACTACTAGTACTGGAGGTTGGAGGCCATCGCTACTATAAATTATCTATATATATATATGAAACAAGTATAAAGAATAGAAACAAACCTGGTTATACGAGTGCTTTTTCAACATGTGTTCGAAGGTCACACATGTTCAAAAAAACAGTGAAAAGTCCGAAAGGTGTCATGTTGCCATTTGGAAAAGCACCTCTAAATTGTGCTCAGAGACACGCAGCTTTGAGGCTTTTGAATGAGGTGATGTTGACTGGGGCAGGCTTCGCACGCTTGACGCAATGATACCTGTTTAACTTGCTATTAGAAACAACGAAAGAAGGAAGAAAGGTCTTTGCTCTACTGTAAGCGCCCCAGTCGCCCCATGCTCGGTGGCCGCTAGTCGACTCTCAAGTTCTTCCCAGCCCAAACTCACCTGGAAGAAAGAGTCTCGAGTGATGTTTTTGGGCCTCAGGCCGACCAAACGAGGTATCAAAGCCTGCCGCCTCTTGTTTAGGATCCATGAAGCACTCTTACTTAGCCATAACAAGGTTCAAAGGGTTCAAACTGTCACTGTGAGTCTGTGACTATGACTTGTACAAAAGCTACTAGCAACAAAGGGCATAGCTACCAGGAGCAAGGACACTACTAGTAGCTCCTGGCCTTACTACTAGGAACAAGAAGCTACTAGTAGCAACGGGCATTTCTACTAGGAGCAAGGACACTACTAGTAGCTCCTGGCCTTACTACTAGGAACTAGGAACTAGAACTAGGACTCGGTCTCGAACTCGTTCACATCAGTATGGATGACGCTGCCGGCTGTGGTTCCAAACGCGACACAAAGGACATCGATGTCAGAGCCAGGGCTAATGAGACCAAGCCTGTGAAAGCCAACTTGTAGAAACAAATCTTTCATCTGATCTTTCATCACCCTTCGCACGTCCGAGCTCGTCAAGGTGGTCTTGTCAAGTCATCGAGCGCCGGCCTCGCCCTAAAGCCCTAAAGCCCTCCCTCGCCGCCCCATGGCCCCCGCCCGCGACGCCTGTAAGAGCCAAAGGTAAAAATCTTCGACCCGGCTCGAGACGCCAAGTCTTCATCTCCCTGTGCTATGCAAGCCTGGACTGGATGAGGTCGGTCGTGAGGCCTAGTTGGACATGGATAGTTGAAGATTCCATAGTGCTTGCAACATTCGCAGTACAGTACAGCCACTAGACTAGTTAGTTCGGCAACTGAATAGTTCGTTGAACTGTTCTCATGTCATTGGAGAAGATTTTTCAAGTACCTCTATCCAATAGTCGTCACTGGAAGGCACAGGCCAACTGGGTACTGATCAATTCTTGTACCGGACCATGGAGTGATCAACATCAAAACACGGTGGCCGAAAAAGGAGAAAATGGACTTCATGTACACAGTGTACACATGAGACTTCAAGTTTGGGGGTCATGTCACCATGTACACCTCCAAAAGGCAAACATTACTTGAGAAAAGAAAAAAAACAATGAAGAATACAAAAACAAACCTTCTAGCGAAGGCCTCCAACCTAATAGAGAATGGCCTCCAACCTACCAGCGATGGCCTCCAACCTAAGAGTGATGGCCTCCACCCTAGTTAAAGGCAAACATTGACAATGCGTTCCATGTTCGAGAGACTCTGGGCCTCCTGAACCCATTGTTGAGTGATCCGTCTCAGCTCCATCAAGACTTCAGCCCGGAAGCGCATCTTTTCCTGGGCGACGGAAAAAAACCCAAGTCAACCCCGAGTTGGTAAGTCGTCATATCCTGCAGCCATTGGTCGATTGGGAAATAGAACATCTAAGCTTTGACGCCCACCAAAAAAGAGAGGACAAAAAATAGAGTGATGGCAGTCCGCCATCACTGTCCCATGGCAGCTGGCCTCTGTCTCTAAAGGTGCATCGCGGCGCATCTCCTACGAACATCAAGCAAACTCGAAGCACTTCCGTGCCGTATCAAGCCACCAATGAAATTGAGAGCAAATGGTGCTTGCTTCACATCTATCTGATCCATGTGGATGCGGTTCCCATTCTCTTTCACCAAGCAGTTCTTTGAACGCAACATATCGATCAACATGTAGCGCCTCGTGCAGCTGCTCATCCAATGCTCGCTCTGCCTCCCAAGAACACCCTTGGCCAACCATTTCTTGAAGCTTCCAAAACAAGTGAATCTGCATCACTACTACCTTACCCCGGGGGCGGTCAAAAATGTAATTTACAATTTCGGGTGTGTCAAAATGCAGGTTTTGGAAAACGGTGAAATTTGAACATACAGGTCTGACATACCTCCATCTCACAAGACAGGGGTCAAAATTGTAAGTTACATTTTTGACCCTCGTGTGTGTTCGTTCGGCCTGCACGCACTCAAAAATTGTAAGTTACATTTTTGAGGGTGAGGGTCCATGCTTCTACCTCACCCTCAAAAATGTAACTTACAATTTCCCTTTCGGTTGATCACAAGTTTGCGCAGTGCCGCATTTTCCCTTGGAAGTGTTGGCATGTAGCGGCTGCGCCCGAAGGTTCTGGCCAGTGGAAAACGCAGTCTAATTGTAATATTTCCTGCTGGGTACACTAGGTCAATAATATAACAGAGTGAATCTTGCTCAAGTGAAACGCAAAAAGACGCCTTTCAATTCATTCAGGACACAGTCTAAGGAGGATGTGACAGGGCGCAAACAAAAGAGGCACATTTCGTAAAAGAAGGTGTTTTCTTTCATCTTTTTCTTGGACAAGGGTCATTGGAGACTCTACTAAGGTAGTGCGTGCTGTGTGTTTTTTTTCCTGGGCTGTGCCTGCCTCAACATGTATTGGAGGACCTCACCAGTGCGGGAGGGGGCCAACTAATTGTAATATGGCTTTCTGGCTGTACTATGGTACACCCTGTGCAGTGTTTTCCTTTCATGTTCTGGCTTCAACATTTCTCTCACAAAATTGAAGAGTGGCAGAAGGGTGTTCTAATTGTTATGTGGACTTGTTGGTGCACTAAACACACACTGCGCGGTGCTTTTCCTGGGCTGTCCTTGCCTCAACCTTGGTTGGAGGACCTCACCAATGCGGGAGGAGGGGAACTATATAATTGTAATATGGCTTTCTGGCTGTACTATGGTACACCCTGTGCAGTGTTTTTGCCTTTCATGTTCTGGCTTGAGCATTTCTCTTACGAAATTGAAGAGTGGCAGAAGGGTGTTCTAATTGTTATGTGGACTTGTTGGTGCACTAAACACACACTGTGCGGTGCTTTTCCTGGGCTGTGCCTGCCTCAACATTTATGGGAGGACGTTACCAGTGCGGAAGGGGGGGAACTAATTGTAATATGGCTTTCTGGCTGCGCTATGGTACACCCTGCGCAGTGTTTTCCTTTCATGTTCCGGCTTCAACATTTCTCTTACGAGCTTCAATAGTCGGAGAAGAAGGTTGTAATTGTGATATGGACTTGTGGGCGCACTAAAATACATTCCGTGTAGTATTTTCCCAGGTTGCAGTGGCCTTAAACATATCTGGAAGAGAGAGGGGCTTCAGAGCTTTACCAGATACATGTCGCTTTAGAGGTATAATTGTAAGGTTGCCATTTGTTTGCACTGTACAGTGTGTGTTGCGCATGTTTTTTTGTGGAAAGCATTGCTCCAACATTTTATATAAGAAGTACAGGTCGTTCAAGGATGTCTAGGGTAGAATTGTAATCTCCAGTGGCAGGGACACCATGTTTAGACAAGAGCATCGAGTCCTCCACTTTATCTCCCTTTCCCTTTCGGTTGTTCTAACTTTCGGTTGATCTCGGTTGAGCCATTTGTGCTGCACGAAAGCAAAGCGAGAATCTCTGGATTAAGTTCAATCTTGAGCTCAAGATGCCCAAGTTCATGTTCCAAAGGCATGTGGAAACTGTCGAAGCAGAGAGGTTCAAAGCTATTACAAAACACACTCGTACAACAAGGGGGGGGAAATTGTAATTTGCTCTGTGTGGTACCCACCCATAGATTCTTACAATTTCCACCCCCCCCCCTTTCAAAGTCTCCAGAAGTAGGCCAAGACCTCTTTGAGGGGGGGTCAAAAAAAGTAACATCCTCACATAGGCTACCTCAACCCTAGATCTTACAATTTTCACCCCCCCCCATAGGGCTATATAATGCTATTGTTGTGAAATCAAAAAATGTAAGTTACAATTTTGACCCCCCCGGGGGGGTCAAGCACCGCAAGGGGGTGGTGATGAATCTGTTGTTTCTTTCGAAAAGAGATACGTTCATCCTCTTTGACCATGTCGGGACGTGGCTTCCATCTCAGAAAGAAAGAAACGACACCTGGGTGGGCATCCCCAAGGAAATCGGCTCGGTCACACCAAACCTCGGTCGAACATGGAAAAGCAATACGTTACATGTAAAAAGAATGTACCCTCGTAGGCCTCCGAGCGAATAGCAATGGCCTCCAACAAAAAAAAAAGAAAAAATAAAGGTTCGCTCTACATGCGCAACTCGGACAGTTGTGGCACCAGAGAATGTTGATTTCAGTTCCATGCCTCGCATCATTTCACCATCCTATCAGCCCTTCCTGACGTCCTTCACGACTCGTTTTGTGGCGTTTCTCGGTCGTCCAACTTCACAGGTGCACCCATCTCTCGCGCCGCCTGACGGTCCGACGGCTCCGACGGTGGATTTCGACCGACCAGTCGAGGTCATCAAATCCCGGAGGCGGTGAGGCGGATTTTTCTTCTGCACCAAAACATGTTGACACTCAAGATGATTGCACTTCGGCATCAGTGTTGCTCAAGTTGAGATGTGTAACCCTTCCCGTGTCTGTCCCAAGCCAGTGGCTTTTGCAATCCGTCAATCAATCCAAACTGCAATACAACGACGTCTACAACGTTTCTCTCGGTCTATCTCTTCCCCCTTCGTGCCTTTCCCTCTCCCTTGGCCTGTCGCAGGGGGGAAGCCAGCTGTATCAGCACATCGGTAGTATGGGATATTATGGGCACTAACCAAAGCGCAAAAACCAGTGAATTAGCGGCTAGAAAAAGCACGGCCCTTGAACTACCTGCAGAGGCACATGCACGTCCCCCACAAAAAATAAAAAGACAAAACACAACTATTGATGTGTTGCTGAACCCCAACAGCTTCGACAAGTGACTTGGTTGCGCAGGCTTTGCGATGGGAACCTCATGCCTTTGCAAACTTTCAACCCTCACGTGCCTCCGCATCTGCAATCATCCTTCACCCATCAATGGTCTCCACCCGTCGTTGGCATTCCGTCCGCTCGGTTGTTCATCCGAGATGTTGGCCGTGGATGCATCTGGATACGAAGAAAATCGGTTTGCTGGCTTAACATTGATCTTTGCCTCAGTTCCCGATTGGGTTCTCATATGGTGATCATGTTCTGATTGAGCTGAATCAGCGACCAAAATCGAGACCGCAAACGCTTAGATGCAATTACGTTCGAACCAACTAGTGAATCAGTGTTATTTCTGCGGAATCCCTTCACTGGTTGGTTCACTGCTGGGTGATCCTTCCCCAATGGGTTCCTTTTCAGGGGGGTCATGTGCATGCAGTTCCAAAATCATCAAACCGATATAACATGAGTACTTCAGTGCTTTTTCTAGACTCTCAACAATGCAAAGCTTCAACCCCCAGGAAATTCATCTGATTTCCACGATTCCATCTTCTCTAAAATGGTTGCACCTGATCCTCTTGCTGGGTGGTTCCCAGCAGGCACGGATCTGGACCCTTTCCGGACCCTTTCCCCTTTCCATTGGAGATTCAGAGTCAGTCTGTCCTGAGACAGCCATCCTTCAGAGTCACCCAGAACGAGCGGTCGGAGCTGGGCAAAGGTTTCTTTCCAGAATCCGACCTGCATCTGTTTGCTTCACTGTTGAAGTCTTCTTCGAACACAAATCAAAACTACTCGTTACCCCCAGAATAAAGCATGGCAGTCCAGTCTAAATTGCATGGTTGGCGGCTCACATTGCTCAATCAAACCGCGATCTTTTGACGGCTTTGCTGACAAATCTGTCAGTCTCACAACTCAAGCCATGTCCCATCTTGGACCATGTGAGAGGTTGAAAGCAACCTCAACCTGCGTGTCTCGCATCCTGTTTTTTTCCCACTTAAGGCGTTTTCAATGTGCCAAAGCTGATGGTTTTCCAATGGTAAAGGTTTCCCAGCTGTGCCACTGGCCACTGAGCTGGCAACGAGGCCAGCGATGGCCAGCGGGCACACAAAATGAATCGGGTCGCGAGGATCCTCACCCTTCACTTTTGAGGCAGGTTTTGGGCTAGGATAACTCTTGTAAGACCCATGACTGGAGTTTTACTGAAATTCTGTTGGATAGCATGAGCTCAGAATCACATGGATGTTTTCAGGTTTGGGCTGCTTTCGAACCTGGTCATCTTGGCGGGCTTTGGACAGCGAAGCGACTTAGAGTTCTGTCGAAGTGGCATCAAGATTCACACTTTGAGTGGAACAGAAACCAAACAATCCTAGCAAGAAGCTACTAGGGGCTCCTGGCATCGCTACTAAATTTGTGGCTTGAAGAAGTGATGTGACGGAGCTCTGCGCACACTTCTATTCTCTCAGCCGACAAATCAACAACGATTTGTCAATCGTCCAGAGGGCAGCATTCCCAAAGAGGGAGTTCGCCTGCGACGGGTATTGGTCTATCAAAAACAGGATGTGAAAGCTTTCTACCAAATGACGGGGTTGATGATGTTTCCCATACTGATACTAGGAAGCCTGCATCCAAAGTGTGTGCCTATTATCTGTCAGTTCTTCAAACAAGCGGCCTCTTGTAGTAAGCAGCTGACAACGGACTCTGAGCAGGTACTTACCTGACATTTGGGCAGTGGTTGGGGGCAAACTAGACTAGGCCAACGCACTCTCCAGTGAACCAAGATCAAACCATTAAAAATAAAGCAAAATAGATCAAAAACGATTCCTCGTGGGACCGTGTTGAAATAATGCATCTCCCAACATGAACTTCACAATCCTTGTCCAAAGGAGTCAGTACCAAAGGCTTAGAAAAGCTCTTCTTTTGAGTTACAGTATTAATAGCGATGGCCTCCAACCTAGAAGCGATGGCCTCCAACCTACAACCGACGGCCTCCAACCTACTAGCGATGGCCTCCAACCTAAGAGCGATGGCCTCCAACCCAAAAGCGATGGCCTCCAGCCTAGAACTGTGCCACTAACGATTTTCATGTTTGACTCTGCCGCAGCTGCTTTGATTTCGAATTGTGTCTCCCGGCATGTACTGCTTGAAGAACTCATCATCAGGAATTTCCTGCTCCGGAAGTTCTTCCTTTTTCTTCTTCTCCTGAGATGAGCATGAAAAAACCAAGAAGGGTTCTGAATTTCTGATGGTGTTGGCCTTTGGCTTCAACAGAAATACAGAAACAAAGCAAGAACCTTAAAAATGCCCATTTCGCGCAGATTGCGACACAGGACTGGCTCCATGTGCGACAAAAGTGTGTTGGCTATCATGCGTATGTTCGACCACTTGTCTTTTTCGTATCCACGTCCGTTGCTCGTTCGATCTGTAAAGACTGACCGGAAACTCTACAGCTTGCCTTCTCCAGTCAACGTCGAGCTTCAACCGGCGGCGCTCTTCAGCGGTTCGTGGCGATCGATACCGATCTGCTCACCCCGTGCGAGGCCGGCTTCCCCCGTCCGTGGCTTCGCATGGCGAAGCCGTGCGAGGGTACCCTTCGCACATGTTGGCCACGAATTTCTGTCATTGCAAGTGTGAATGCCCCCCCTTTTCTGAGGGCATAAAACTTCATGATGCACCAAAACATGAACTGGCTTGCCCCACACATCTCGCGGTCCACGATCCGCCCCTCACGGCCCTTCCACTATGTGGGGTACAGGAGGGTATGACTATAGCACAAACAAAAAGTGTGAAAAGAAACGTGCAAACCACCACTCAAAGGACCAGAATGAAGCACAGGTCAAGAGTGAAAAGTGAACTATCGGCAGGATGCATTCAGTCAAGATTCACTTCATCAAGTGATTTTTTAAGCCGAATGAATTTGCGGACTTTCTGGTTTTAGTTTCTTCGAGCATGAAGCGCAGGTTCATTTGGAATATCAGAATATCAGAAAAAACGGAAGCATATTCACTGCATACCGGGAAAGGCAGTCGAACATTCAGGGGATACGGTTGCTCGGGAAGGGCTGAATATTCAGCAAGAAGTTTAATCGCAACAGCGGAATTTGGCATAGCGGGTCGGGCCGCCATCCCCCCGACCAGAGTTCGATGGAAACCTAAACGAACCAGAGATGAAGAGCAAGTTTTCTTGTAGCGCGGGAACAACTGGCATTGCATTGTACCTTCAAGATATCTAACGATGCCCCGCAAGGTAGAGGCCTGATGGCACAAAGCACGGGCGGATTTTGGCTGAATCAAGGCTTCCGGGGAGTCAAAAGCGTACGGCTTGAAGATCTTCTCTTTATTGTCAAGAATCCACAGCGGGAGGCCACGGCCCGAAAAGAGGATGAAATGAACAGCTAGCTCAATCCAACTAACGCCAAAATCGCCAGGAATGGCAGGGGCATCTGGGTGGCGCCATTGCAAGGAAGTAAAGAAATGCCAAACATTGCCAAACCATATGTGCTATCTGAGCGCCGGCAATACAGGCACACGCAATGAACTGGCTTGCCCAAACACCCTCTCAAACTGATGAGGATTGGCGAAGTTGCTCCAAACATGCCCGGATTGGCGATGTACACAAGTGTTTGTGGCCACTCTACCAAGGCTGAAGCAAAAGCACTCCTTGCAGTGATCTCGGTAGCAATGGATTGATGGGGCCTGCATTACTAGGGGTCTATCAAGCCAGCCCGTCGCCACACTCTTGGCACTTCTTCGAGCTTTCGCTCCCTAAAGGGCTCTGTCGACTTCTGATCGCGAGACTCGCGAGACCAGCGACTTGATGGTTGACAATTCACGTCTGTCTCCCAAAAAAAGTCCGAGCCACGTGGGGCCCACGTCCGTCACACACGCGGCTGATTGACATAAGGGTGGAGAGGACGGGTGGCGCAATCAAGTTGGCCGCAAGCCAGCTACTAGTAGCTCCCGGCATCGCTACAGGGAACAAGAGGCTACTAGTCACAAGGGCATTTCTACTAGGAGCGATCGGAAGCTATGAACATAGCTCCTTGGCCCTACAAGTAAATTTGCCGTGTGCACCATCCACCCATCGCTGGGCTCAAGCAATGTGAAGTTGCGACCTTTACAAAGCGTCCAGTGTTCACCTGCGACATGCGCATCTGCCACAAATGCCACTTGCACAACCTTGTGAGGGGGGCAAAGGCATAAGGCAGTTGCATCCTGATTCTTCAGGTTGCCAAAGCCTTAGCACTGAGGAGTAAGCTTAGACCACATACAAAGACTCGGACATCACCAGCGAGGAGCGCACACAAGGACTCAGAGTTTGTGGAATTGACAAGAGCCCAAGGTGGGTAGGAGCAAGGACGCTACCAGGGGCTCCTGGCCTTGCTACTAGGAACAAGGACGCTACCAGGGGCTAGTGGCCTTGCTACTAGGAGCAAGGACGCTACCAGGGGCTCTGGGACTTGCTACTAGGAACAAGGACGCTACTATTTCTATTCTTTTATGGACAAGGACTCCTGCGCAACAGCCTACGCAAGCCCTCGTCCAAGCCTACGGATCATCTTTGTGGGGTCCCTTTGGCTCATGTGAGGACTTGGTGCATGTGCGGCGTCACCTCTTCTTGGAGTCTTTTCTTCTCCGCCTCTTGTTCGGCTTTCTTTCTCTTGGTGAGCATGTCCTGGCAACCAGGCTTAGCTTGCTGCGAACTTGGAGCACCTCAAAATGTTTGACAAAAATGACGAATGTGCACTACGAACAAGTGCATGCATTCACGATACCAGAACATGCACAGGTGCTTGTGACCTAGACCCAGACTCATCAAGACACACTCACTCCAGAAGACAATTTTTGTAGAACAAGCAACAAATGGTAATATGCAGTGGGAGACCATAGACGCAAAGGATGCACATTGGGCTGCAAAGTTCTGCCCTCATGTCGCATTTCATGCGTTACACACTTCTTTGGGTGCCCCTGGGCAAATGCTATGTGTCAGTTCGGTGATTAAGCTCTTTGTGGCCTGAACTGAACCAGCTCTGAAACGCTACTAAAAGCTCAAAAGATGTGCCGTCCTTGAGTGTCTTTTGCATCGCCTCCTTGGCTGGCAGTCGTCGAAGACGGGAACCAACTCTACCAAGGCGCTGAAGCCATGGATATCGGAAAGGGTATATATGGTTGATAAGAGTAGTCCTGTCCAGGCCCCACAAAGGCTGGGAACTAGTACAGTTCGTGGTCGGAATCAGGTCCTGTACATATCTGCCGAGCCTGCTTTATGATGAGTAACTTGCGTACAAAACAAAAGAAAGATAGAAGCTTTTCGAACGGCTCCGGTAATATTCCAGAGCATCTTCCGAACGACTTTCTTTAACAAAGGGTAGTGGAACCGCATGCAACAAGTCGCTCAAGTCGTGTCAGCCAAGCTGCTGCCTCTTGCATTGAAAGCTTCGATCCCAATGCGTTCACTGAGTTGTTCACAAAGGTGTACGGAGCCCTGGCAGTGAGCTGGCATATCATCCAACTCATGCATCCTTCGATGTGGGGAAAAAAAGAAAGGAAAAGAAAAACCCATCTGAAACCACAGACCCTACCGTTGTCTGTCAACGAAGATGAAACGTGTTTCGTGGCACTGACTGCGGTCTACGTCGACGGGCTGCAAAAAGGGCTTCTCGAAGCGAACCGGAAGTGTCCGGACGCTACTAGTAGTTGCGTAGTAACCAAGGGCATCGCTACGAGATCCGGAGCGTTCGGACGCCTTCAAACCGGTCGCTCCCTGGCATCAAAAAACGAACGGACACGATGTGACGAACCGAGCAAAGGAGTCCGATCTCCAAAACCGGACGCGTTTGTTCCGTCGAAAGACCGATCTGGACATGAGTTCCAGGACATGCAGGAGATCGGTTCGGACTGATGAGATGGGTTAGGACATGGGAATGCCAGTGTTCCATGTCCAAGAAAGGCACCCTGTCCATTCGATACACGGACCGGTGGCAGGACGGGGGACCAGAGTTCAACGAATTCCACCTGGACTCGGTCTTGATTCTCACCGCAACAAATCGACTGAGGTGAGAGTCTAGGGTCAAATGGATCCTTAAGTTAAAAATTAAATTAAAACAATAGCTTCTTGTTACTACTAGTAAGGCACAAGTTAGTAGAAGCGATGCACTTGTTACTAATAGCTTCTTGTTACTAGTCAAAATGGGTCTGTCTCCAAACCGATTGGTCCCCTCATCGTGAGATGCCAAAGACACCTTGCCTCAATAGATCGCGAGTCTCTCATGTCCGGCGCGCTCTAGGAGCGGGTTCTAACTCTGAAGGCCCCAAGGAGCCATCGAGTAGTAAGGCCAGGAGCCTCTAGTAGCGTCCTTGCTCCTAGTAGCGATACCCTTTGCTCCTAGTGGCATCTGTTTGATTGCCTTTCTCTGAGGAGCCGACTTCTTGGCCGTGGACGCTTTCAGCTTCGGCACCAGTTGGTTCGTCAACCAGTCGACCTCGGATGGTGCACATCGCATGGCATGCATCAGTTGGGCAATGAACATCCGCAACACACCTGATCTCCAAAGGAAACAAGCGCAATTAGAAGCAATCTGAATGAGACAAGCGGAAGTTTACGAATGAACATGCTGAGTTGGAGACATCTGACTGCAATTTGATCTCCAGCTGGTCCAATGAATTTTTGGTGACAGTCTGCAGTCGGTCATGTTGCAGTCGGTCGGACCGGTCGGATGTCCTTTCAGCGAATCCGTTCAGCGAAGTCTCTCATACATCTTCCCCAAAGCTCTGGGATTGGTCAAAGCGCTCTGGGATAGGAAAGTACTCTCACTCCAAGTCCGACGAACACTTCGAAGCGCTGCTAATTGTGGGCAAAAGTCTCACAATTTGTCAGCTTCAGTGGAATCTTTGGAAACCCAACATACATTCCTTCCGAACAGTGGGAAGAACATGGAAAAAGTTCCACAACATGTGTCCTCTCCTTTTCTTCTTTCTAGTTCTTGACTCAATGACTCACGGCACTGGCCTTGCTGGCAGACGAAGACGCCTCCCGGTGTTCACGCTGTTTCACAGCAGAACGCTGTTCACGTTTTCTTTGAAGCGAAAGGATTAGACATGGACTTGTTTGAAGCGAAAGGCAGCCCTTGCCACAAATCTGCGGTCGAATTAAGGAAGTCACATATATTCTCGATTTGAAAACTTGTTTGCACATGGTTTTCTCCAAAGACTCACCTGGAACCTCCAACTCCCCGTCTAAAAATCATTAAGTTTGATCTAACAAATCTCAACTGCTCATTCAGAAAGAGAACCGTTTTGTCCTGGTTCGTGTGGGTTCCAGGCATTATTTCGTTTCAAGCTCCACCTTTGGGGGCATCTTGCTGCTCAGCTGTCCTTGGATGCGCTGACTGAGCTTTGTCTCAAAATCAGTTGAAAGTGCAAATAAATTGGCAAGCAGTTTTCCAGAGGTCTAAAACAGGATGTTGTGTCTGACTCAAGGAATATTGGTCTCCTGACTCACCTTTATTTGGCGAAGCTTCTTTCGGTTGACATATTCGAGCGGCAGCGGCAGTGGGTCGAAGAAATACGACACAACCCGATCCTCTCCTGTTTGAAAGCTTCAATTTTCATGGACAACATCAAGATCCTGCACCAACGCCAATCCCTTCCCATTCCAGATTGCATGATTTCCTTCATCAATCGAGGGATCACTTTTGTAGGTTGGAGGCCATTGCTATTCGGTTTGAGGCCATCACTAATTAGGTAGGAGGCCATTGCTAATAGGTAGGAGGCCATCGCTCTTAGGTTAGAGGTCATTGCTAGTAGGTTGGAGGCCCATTGCTAGTAGGTTCCCCTCTCGCTCGGCTAAGAGCGGCTCCGGTGAGCTGAACGTGTCCTCCACGTTCACTCTCCTCTGTACAGTCGCTTTCTTTGCGATGGAAAGCGGTCGCTCACCACAGCCTTCTTGAGCCAAGGCTGCAGAAGTTCAACGAACGGCGGCTGAAAGTCCGAACGTGTACAGGTTCTTCCAAATGTTCCGAAAAAAGCTGCCGAAACAAACACCTTGGCAACTGCCTTGGCAACTCAACCTTGGCTCCTGGAAGACAACACCTGCAAGTAAAGAGGGAGAAAAAGAAAGCGGTCAAACTCAGACTGGCCAATAGAGTCGCCACCCCTTTTTTCCCGGTCTTCGATCCTGCACATCCTGGCCGTGCGTCGGCGCGAATGGCGTGCTGTGGCCCCAAGTCCCCCATTGGCCGGCGGACAAGTGACCCACCTATCTGAACGTTTAAAGCTGAAAAACATGGACATAAACAGCTATGCAGCATGGACAAGGAACTCGTCAAGCCTGGCGAAAGGTCCAGCCCCAGCTCCTGATCAAGAGTCTTCCAACTACGGCACGAGCCATCTGAAGCACAGCCTTTCCTGAAGCCCCAAACACCGGATCTTTCAATCAAAACTGCTTGATAGGGGGATTCCCAATCATTTTAGCTGACTGTTTCGGTTCCAGGGTGCATGTGCCAAAAGAGGCAGGCACTGCCAACCTTGATTATTTTGCTCTTCTTTTGGAACGTGTTTCTTGGATGCAGCAAAGCAAGTGACTTTCAAACCAGGACGGCTGGAGGAGCACGGGGAGGTCGGCTAGACTTGTCTGAGCTAAATCATGCTAAATCGATCTCTCGTGAAGTGGTTCGCTGAAAGGTCGTCCTGGCAAAGTTTTGAGCTGTTGGCGTGGCCCACGGCCTCAAACAAAAGGCACGCGAGGCTCATTGGCCGCTTTCACATCTTTACTTTCGCTCTTAGGTTGGAGGCCATCACTAGTAGGTTGGAGGGGAGAGTGGCCTTTAAAAAGTCTAGAAACCGTATCGCCGTATCGGCCACGCCGATAGGGTGCTTTCAGGAAGCTTCTCCGGCCCTGCTTGTCACCCGAGCTCCGATGCGCCTGCTGCATGTTTACTTCTTACCTTTTGACTATGAGCTACTTATACTCCCTCTCTTACTAATTACACATATCCACAGTCCTGCACCTTTCAACATGCTCGAAATGAAGATCAACCATCAATGGGCCCTGGGTCATCTGAATGCCAAGACACCCAAGTCAAGGTCTTCAAAGTCGTCTCGTTTGGCATCACATTGCACCGCACCTCAATGTGAACCGGAATGACAAAGCTGCTGAAAGGGTGACCAAGCACAACACACTTTGCATGTCGTCCATCTCTTGCTACCCAGAACACCCCAAAAAAAGGTGAATGGTTGGGGGATCATCCCCAGCTTTGGTGATGCAGGAAATTCTTCCATTAGCATTGGTGGCACACTGTCCAGTGAGCTGAAAACTAGGCACGGAAAGCAAACTTGGGGGGCCAAGGGCCATTGATTGGTCAATTGAAATGGACTTGGAGTCTTAAAATGTGATTTATAAAAATATAGCAACTGTAATATCTTCTAATTGTTATAAGATATGTATCTTTGGGGGAGTCTTAAGAAATAAGGCTCGCAGCCTTGGCCGCAATACCGTTGGATAAAAAGCAGCACGTGTCTCGACTGAAAGCGAAAGCAATGGAAAGTGGGTACAAAGGATGTGAAAGCTCAGTGGTTGAGGGGCTCCATTTGTTGTGAGACCGACCAGTAGGTTGGAGACCATCGCTATTAGGTTGAAGGCCCTTTCTACCAGTAGCACGAAGCTATTAGGTTGGAGACCGACCAGCAACTGCTTTAAGTCTAAGTTGCCATCTGCCGAAAGATCCGCTGGGACCTCAGCTCGTCAGCTGAAGACCGGGCTGCGGGCAGAAACTGGTGGACCGGGATGAACGAATATAGTACGTCCTTGCTCCGAGTGGCGATGCCCTTGTTACTAGTAGCTTCTTGCTTCTAGTAGCGATGCCAGGAGCTACTAGCTATAATACAATATTGTGTTTTCCGTTCTGTCAACATGAGTCATGATTTCCTTCAAGACCACACCCAAGGTTTGCAAACTCTGAGGATGTCTGCAGTAAAGAGCTAAGGCAAATGATGGGAGCACACAAATTCCCACGGTCTGTTCTGCACACCACACCTAACTAAAGCCAAGATGCTCTTCGCGTTTCTTGGGCTTTGCAACAGCGCAAGCAGTCAAAAGGGCTGTCCATGTCACCTTGTCTAGCAGCGTCAGACTTTGAAAAAGTGCACCAATTGCCCCTTTTAAGGCAGCTGCACCATCCATCAAAACATCTATGCAGCCTGTTTGAGCGCCCACTCCAAGTGATGGAAGGATCGTGAAGGATCTAAGAAGGTGCAAAACCTTCGTTGGACTCAAAACCCTTCCACCGTTGCCTTCGTTGCCTTCGACTTGGAGCGGCCGTCTCGAGCGGCCAAGGGGCGACGTTGGGCCGAAGCTTGGAGAGCGCCATGTCCGAGACCAAGCGCTTGGAGTTCTCCAGGTCCCCCCTCCTCCCGACGCGGCGCGACCAGAAGCTCCCGGGGGGAGAACGAACAACGGCAGAAGAAGTAGGACGCTTCTTGGCTATAGTAGCTATTAAGTAGGACGCTTCTAGCCAAGACGCCGGAGAGTTCACGCTTCTTCAAGGATGCTTTTGGAAAACTGAGGGTGGGGGCAGCTTCCTGGAAGAAGTGCTCGCACTAACGATTTGGTTCCTAGATATTTTGGCACACTGACCTTTCTTCTTTAGACGAGTCACCCAGTCGGTCTGAGACAAACCGATGTGGTCAAAACAGTGCGTGTCTGTCCAGATTAAAGACGCTCAGACATGTGGCAACACTGTGTTGGATCAACTATTTGAGCAAACTAGGCCCAAACAGAGCAAAGCAATCAAGGCCATCAGATGTCATTCAACCTCACTATCACCCTGAAGTGGTGTTTGGTCGGAAAAATACACCAAAAGCTCTTGTGTGAAGGCTTTTCTCTTACTGGAGCAAATTCAGGTTCCTATCCCATGTGCTACAGGATTCTGTCCATGAAAACACCACAAAGTTCGCCGGACGGACCGCGGTCTCTGGAGACCTCAGACCTGTCCGACCTGTCCCAGTCCAACAGTCCTGGCATATGCTCCGACCAATGCAGAGTACGTGACCTCATCAGCAGCTAAACCTTGGCAGCGCAGGACACGTGATGCTGAGTTCAAGAGCAAATGTCGAGAAACCACATGTCAGATCTCTTGACGCTCAGAGTTGCTCAACTTCTTTGATCCCACGCGCTAGAAGGTCGCTAGGCAAGGAACAAGAGGGACGACGAAAAACAACACGAATCATCCAAATCTCCGATGTTCGGATCGAAGGCTTCTCGTCCCAGTTGTGTCGACCCGTCATGCTTTGCATCCTGGTAACACAGTCAAGTTCCCCAGCCCGAACTACGTGATCTACATAGTGGTCTACGATGGAACTGAAACAGTGGCATAAAAATAGCACAAAAATCATACATCATCTGCTCTGCTGCCTAAACATGACAGTGGGCCGTAGCAAGTTTCAAGCTTATCAAGCTGCAGGGGCATGCAGGTGACATCACCTGATTGGTTGAAAGATTTGGGTATGTATTATATATATATATGCATACATATAAGCATAATATACATGAGTTGGAAAACAACCTCGACTCATAGAGTTCTTTGATCTTGTGAACTCCACTGCGCTACTCATGTCGGCTCAGATTGTGGTAGCGCCGTCGGTACCAGACCAGATACCTGAGCAGCACTGTCAGTTGGGGGGGGTTCCAGCACCCAATCTGCAAGCTGATGCGCACTTTGACAGCTACTCATCGGAAGCATTCATAGAGAGTGGTTCATTCCAACCCGACATAGACCGTCTGATCCAAGCGACTCCACATAGACCTGCGAAGGATCGAAGATCACATACTCATTCACGTCACTGGCGAGCTTTACACCTCGGTGCTTGGCAGAGTGGCCCTCTCCAAGCGTTTTGGGGGACGGCGATCGGCCCACTGGCACTTTCACATTCTAAGGGAAGTGTTCCTCTGAAAACATGCATGCGCAAAGGACCTTGAGAAATGATTGTTTAACGCCCCTCGGAATGAGGTCGGAATGATGTGCTTATTCACTTGAAGGACTTCACACAATACAAACAAGAAACAGACAAACAGTCTGTACCAGTGTTTGGGAAACCATTTGCTTTGAGATCTCTTTTCCTCCAAAGAGGCCTACCACTTTCACGGCAAGTAAGATTTCAAGTCCATTCCGTCAGGATGTTACGAGATCGAACCCATCCAGCACAAGATCTGGTTCACCCCCCTGCCAATCCGATTGCCACCAAAGTGGTCTTGAATGAAAGGTTCCTTTTTTCAGGTTCTTTCTTCTTTATGCAAAGGGTTCCCAGTATTTGAACAGACTACCATAAATCTGAGTCTGAGGAGTCATCCACAGCCACCTGAGCTCACCTCTGAGTGGCTCTGATACTCTGATCCTCGCCGGATCGAGTTCCCGTGACGATCTCCTGCGGCGCCGCCAGGTCAGACCGAACGCTACTAGGGGCTCCTGGCATCGCTACTAGGAACAAGAACGCTACTAGGAGCAAAGGGCATCGCTACTAGTAACAAAGGGCATGGCATTACTAGTAGCATGCTTACTACTAGTAACAGGGACGCTACTAGTAACACACGTCAAACGAGTTTTCCCCTATGAGTTTCGCCGTTTTGTTGCCCCACGTCCTGTGTCCCCTATGTCCTCAATGTTTGCCCTGGTGCATATTCTAGGGGACTCTCATTTTGAGACAAACCTGCGTGAAAGGATCCAAACATCGTGCTTCTTCCAGACCGATTCAGGTGATCTGCCAGGCCTTCTGACTGGTTGATGACGCGCCCCAGGCAGACGCGACAAATCAGAATGGCACACAGGCCATTGGGATGCAGCTCGCTGCATTGATCGGCCTCCGAAAGGAAGGAGGAGCTGCAAGCATGACATGATTCGATTCACTTGCTTATGAGGTGGAAAAGCAGAGCTTATGAAACAAAATGAATATCCGTACCTGCGCAAAACAACAGCAAACGTGTAGCAGTGTAGCAAAGCGCTGTCAAAAGGCTTGGTTCTTTTCTTGAATGCCGTACTCCTTGCCCTTTGAGACAAAGTGGTGCATTTCTTTCACCAGAATCGATGGTTAAACACACATGGAAACCGCCTCCAGGGACAACAGTTTCAATGCTGGGTGGTTCAGCACTACTCTTGATACTTCATGTCTGTTCTAGAAGACCCAGCATGGTCCAGCATGCGTCTCCAGCCTTCACTGCGGAGTCTGTGAGGTAGATGCCCGACCCTGCACTGGATCCTGCATGGCACGACAACACCTGAGTCCTCGGTGGAGCTACGCACGGTGGAGGCCATCGCGTTCTTTGGTTGGAGGCCATCTCTACGAACGTAAGAATAAAGCTTTCCAAGCTTTGCAGCATGTTGATGCAGTTTCCAAGCTTTGCAGCTGGCCCCTGTTTCAAAGCCGCGTTGCTGAACACGAGCAGAGTCGTCTCTTGGGCACTGTGCACTGGCTGCGGTGGTCCCTTGCAATAGAAAGATCTCGTTCACATTGAGATCCAACGGCCTTGGCGACATCTAGGCATTACTACTGGGAGCAAGGACGCTACTAGGAGCAAAGGGCATCGCTACTAGGAGCAAGGATGCTACTAGGGGCTCCTGGCCTTACTAGGAGACATCGGCGACATCTCGACACCTCGGCAGCGACGTCCGGTCTGCCAAGGGTCTTTGGGCTGAGCCGCGCTGTGATGCCTCTGCGAAAGCCTCAGGCAGAGTACATATCAGGGGGTATAGTCAAGCCATCTGAGGAACCATTGCGATTGGCTTTGCAAGCAGATATAGCGTGAACACAGCATCCAAATGTCTAGGACATCGCATCACAGCCCAGTGGCCAAAGAGCTTCTTCAAGAACGGAGGTACCAGTGCGTCACCTCGGCTTCGTCGCGAGCGCGGCCAAAGCAGGACGTGTTCGGTTGCGTTGCCCCTGAGAAGTAAGCTTGTATTTTTGAAAAAAGGTGTGTGGCGAGAACTGTCCAATGCATCAGAATTACATCTTGTTGCTTCAAATCTGTTTCAGCGCCAAATGAGTTGCCAGGAACACTAGCAATATGACATGCAGAAAGACTAGGCTGCTTATGGCCAAAGATGGGCTTTGAAGGCACCCTTCTTGCATTTCCATGGCCTTGCCGCCCTCTCCTCCATTTCCAGTGGCTGAACTTAGGAAATTGTTTCCCATGCCTTCCGACCAGCCTGTGGTCGCCAAGTTGCTACCGGGGTCCTCCAAAGGGGAAATCTCCATCCTTCGGTTGCTTTTGTCCACAGTTCCTGGAACGCAGCAAGCATCAATCGAAAACATGCAAAAAAGAGGCGAACATCCGCAACGTCTCAGGAGTAGTAGTTAGTAGTTGCAAACTGCAGGATCTGCAGTGACCATGGTTTTGAATGCTTGCTTAAGGCTTGAGAGCTGCAAACATGTGTATGGAAAATGATCCAAAGTCGTCGTAGTGGTCATGTTCAAGAAAACTTGTTCCGAATTTGTCACCTGAGCAACAGGCCTCCCCTCGAAGAAACGTGGTAGAAAGGGCATCCCCGCAAATCAGATGAGATTAGACGCGTTGCGCCCTTCAGTCGTGACTTACCTCAACTTGTATGGCTGCCATCAGAGGTTTGTTTCAGATTCACCCAAAACAGCCTTTTAAAAAAGAAAAGACACATCCATACACATCCAAAAATGACACAAAAAACCACCGTCCGGTGCCTGTAAAGTGCCGCGACCGGAAGCGGCCGATTGGTTCCAGCGGGTGGCGCTCCTCCTCGGTCCGATCGATAGATCAAACCGGTGAAATCTGAAAGCTCGATGATCTCCGATGGTTTCGATCCTCTGAACAAAAAAAAACGCTGTGAGAAGCACAAAAAGGCCACTGCCAGGGATTGTCATGGCCAGTTTCAAGTCAACGCCCACTGCCAGGGTGAACTTGCTGCAAGCTGCGACTGTTCTATTCTTTTCTGGGAAGGGTACCCCGGTACCACAAATCTCAACGACAAAATAGGCACTATAGTAGCTATTTGCTAACTACTAGCTTCTTGCTATTTCTTGCTACTAGTAGGAATGGCCTCCACCCTAATAGTAGCGATGGCCTCCACCGTGCGTAGCTTCTAGCTACTATAGTAGTAGCTAGATTCAAACGATTTGTTTCAAGACACCCAAATCGGATAGAAGGTCTGGTTGTAGTACAGCACGGCACCTGTTGGCCCAGAGAAGCTCTCCACTTCGGACATTCGGACATTCGTGAGGCAATGGAACATGACCCTGTTTAGGAACAGACAAACTGATTCAGCTCAAGGAATGGTCACAAGTTCGCCGCCTCATGTTTCTGGAAAAAAACAGAATTCTAGTACCTTCAAACTTCCATCTGGCAAGAAAGAATAAAAAGGTCGAAGGAAGGGAGCAAAGGAGCGCTGGCGCACCATAGTTGCTAGGGACCCCATTGCCAGCCATCTCCACAAATTCTGCCTTGGAGGCAACTCGAAAGTCGCTGGACTGTACGAGGCTTTCGCAAGTGTCTTGCGAAAAAGGGATAGTCGGGATAGTCCCACGCTCAATCACCCATCACCTCTCCGATACGAAGGTAGGATGAATTGAAGCGAAGGGTCAAACAGTGAAAAATTGCACTCCGATTGGTGACTCCAGTGGCAACAGTGTGCATCGCTACTAGTAACAAGTGCCTTACTAGTAGTAACAAGAACGCTACTAGGGGCTCCTGGCCTTACTGCTAGGACCAAGGACGCTACTAGGGGCTCCTGGCATCGCTACTAGTAGCAGTCTTGCTACTAGTAACAAGACGCTACCAATTAGTGTGTTGCCCATGGAATTCATATGGGCTCTAAGACTCCACGACTCAACCAGCAGACCTCGAGGTTGGCCTTCTGCTCTGCAACACCTTGGGGGAAACAGTTCCACAATGGCATGTTTCAGTTCGTGAGCATGCCAACATACCGCGGCCACATAAAACCATGGAAAAACAGAGGTTTCAACCAAAGCCCGGGAATGGGGTAAACAGACATCAACAAGGTTCCAAAGAAGGTCGCAAAGTCTGCGGTCTGGCTCTTTTTTTAA